TCCTCCTCCTCCTCCTCCTCCTCCTCCCCCCTCCTGCTCCCTGACGTCCTCCGCCTCCTGCTCCTCAACGTCCATGTCCTGCTCGCCGTCTCCGTCTGCAGGGTCGGCGGCACCGACCGCAAGGCCGTTGCAATCCCGGCATCCCCCACACGTTCTTATACTTTCCGGAGTGTTTCGTCTTCCTCCCCACCCACTTCCCATACTTCCCCATATGTTCCTCTGGCCATCGCTCGGACGTCCGTTCCCTGTGATTTGCTCGGTTTCGTGCGTGGCTGTTTCGCCAGATGATCAAGGATGCTCCTCGATGGTCCTCGCCGAAGGGAAAAAATGCACACGTCCGAGCGATGCCAGGTCCTAGGAGTCGTCGATTGCTCGCGTCTGCGCGTCTCTTCCCCTCCCGAGGCATCGACGCCCCGAGGCCTCGGCGTGTCTCGGCCCACTCCCCCGGGGACCAGCTCCTCGGCCCCGAGTCCTGCGCCGACGGCCCAGGGCGAGAGCCCCCAGGGGCCGAGAATCTGGGATGGCGAAGAAGCTCCCAGCGAAAAGTGCACGGGGACGCACAGGGACATGCTAACGCTACCTGTACGACCACCCTTCGGGTGAGAAGGAGGTTGTGGGGGGGGGGAGAGGGGGGGAACCAACATCTGACTCAATCGATCTCCCGCACAGACGCACGCCCGCACGCACGCACGACACGAACGAAACGAAACGGCTTCCCGATTGGGGGTCTCCGTTCCACTGCGATCTCACCCCCCAACCTCCGATATATCCTCCTTGGAAGCGCGCGTCCGACCCGAACATACGGTATACCCCTCTTGCAGTATATCTTATCCCGAGCGGTGTGGCTAGAAAGCGCCCGCCACGACGCACATACTAGAAGATGTATCGGTGCGCGCGTCGCCCATTTGGGGGCGATGAATGGCGATTGAATGGCCAAGAAATTGAGGCGACGTTTGAATGGCCAATTGAATGGCGAAGAAACTCCAAGCGAAAAGTGCATGGCTGTGCCATCTTGGGGTGCCGCTTTGAGGGACAACGCTTGGGGGAGGACTGGCACAGGGGGGAAGCATCGACCTGGAAACGGCGATGCATCACCGATATAGATCGACGATTGACCGCCGATAGCAAGCCCGCACGCTCCTGGGCGGTGTTGGGCTATCAGACCCCTATCAGCGCTCAGTGGGCGATTGGGGGTCGATGCTTCCTCCCTACGCCTACTCTAAATCTCACGATAGCGGGGGGTGGGTCAAACAAATGTTTGACAGCGCGTCTGGGACCCCCCCCCCAGAGCGGTGCAACACCGGGTCCAGCATCGAGACACCCAAGCAATCTTGCCAGCCAAACCCCTCACAAGAGTAGATCCACCCACATTAGTATGAGATCGAGAGTATCCCACCGATCGTTGCCCCCGACGCATTTTCTTCTCCGACAAACAGAACGGACCCAGAAGAAGGCCCCCGGCCTTAGCTGCCCCGATGCGCAACACGCTGCACGTAAGGTGCTGATACGGAGCTCAACACGTGGACGGAACACGCTGCTCTGACGCGATACGCTCGCCAGAAACGTGGACCAGCACGCGCTGAGCCGACACGCAGCGTGCCGACACGGACGTTTTGAGCACGCCACGCGCCGCGTGCCAAAACGGGCGCGTCGAGCCCCGAGGCGCGCGTCGCCCCCTCTGCGTTGAGCCCCGGGCGCCTCTTCCGCCGCGGGGTGGCGTCCCCGCCGTCTCGGCTGCCGCGGCCGCCGCGGCCTCCCGGGGGGTGGCGGCCCGAGGCCGGCCGCCGGAGGAGGGGGGAGCAGGCCGAGGAGGAGCGGGAGGGGCGGGGACGGACTGGCAATCGCTCGGACGTCCACTCCCTGTGCGTTTTGTCCGTTTCGTGCGTGGTTTTTGTTCGCCAAATGATGAAGGATGCTCCTCGATGGTCCTCGCCGAATGAAGAGTACACACGTCCGAGCGATGCCAAGGGAATGGAACGGAACGGGATGCACCTGCCGCGACGCGAGGTAACATTACCGAACCGCCACCCAAGCCGTCTGCGCGGGCCAAATTCGGCGAGCACCCACTGGTCACGAGCAAGAAGTGGCCGAGCCAGAAGACGTAGAAGAAGCAGATACTTTGAGCCCGAGAAAATCGACCAAGTCGTCGTCGTCGTCGCCATTCAGGGTCGGCGGCACCGGCCGTGAGGCCTTCGCAATCGACCAAGACGCCCATGCCGTACGCGAAACGTGGGGAGGGAGGAGGATGCTGATGATGGTGATGAGGATGAGGATGAGGACGAGGATGATAATGATGATGATGATGATGATGATGATGATGATGATGATGATGATGGTGATGATGATGATGATGCTGATGATGATGGTGATGCTGGTGATGGTGATGATGATGATGATGCTGATGACGAACATGGTGCTGATGATGATGGTGATGATGGTGCTACTGTTGCTACTGATGATGATGATGATGATGATGATGATGATGATGATGATGGTGATGATGATGATGATGCGGGTGATGATGCTGTTGATGCCGGTAATGATGATAATGGTGATGATGGTGATGACGACGATGGTGATGCTGATGATGAGAATTATGTTGGTGATGGCGATGATTATGATGATGATGATGATGGTGATGATGGTGGTGGTGATGATGATGATGGTGCTGATGAAGAAGGTGACGATAACGATGATGATGATGATGATGATGACGATGATGGTGGCGATGACGACGAAAATGATGAGTCTGATGGTGATGATGGTGATGACGACGATGGTGATGATGATGGTGATGGTGATGATGGTGATGATGACGGTGGTGATGATAATGATTATGATGCTGATGCTGATGCTAACGGAGACGATGGCGATGATGATGGCGATGACGATGATGATGATGATGATGATGATGATGATGATGATGATGATGATGATGATGATGCTGCTGCTGATGCTGCTGCTGCTGAGGACGAGAGGGAGGAGGGCCCCAAGAAAGCTCCATCCACAATCATCGACGATCCCCTCCCATTGTGCGGGAGGTCAGCTCAAAGACGCGAAGCGCGGGCGAAAGCCGCCGCCTCGGAGTCCGAGGTCACCCATCCGCCCAATCCTCTCCTCTTAGAAGAGGAAGAGGAGGAGGAGGAGGAGGAGGAGGAGCAGGAGGAGGAGGAGGAGGAGGACGAGGAGGAGGAGGAGGAAAAGGAGGAGGGACTCACAAAACAAGGTGAGGCCCCGCGGGGCTGACCCCGAAGGGCATGTGGGCCAACGCAGCTGGGCTCAGCGGGCGAGCGCTCTACCCGGACCGCTCTGTCTGCGCGTGCGGGCCTCTCGGCCCCCCAGTCACCCCGAGGGAATAGGAGCGGGAGGAGAAGGAGGAGGGCGAGGAGACAGACGAGGAGGAAGAGGAGGAGGAGAGGCAGGAGGAGAAGGATTAGGAGAACGGCACGTGCCGAGGCAGCACGGCGACGTGACCATCCCGGGCGGTTGGAACACGGTACCTTGCCGTCGCTCGGACGTCCATTTCCCGTGCATTTTTCGGTTTCGTGCGTGTTTATTTGGCTCGATGGTCCAGGGTGGTCCTCGATGGTTCTCGCCGAGAAAAAATGCACACGTCCGAGCGATGCCAAGGTACGCTTTGCGCTTCAACACCCCTGAGATCCGACGTTGCAAAAAAAAGGAAAGCATCGCAAAAAAAACACCAGGGTCCTGGACCCCATCTTCCTGCGCCACTCTTCGAGCCGCGTCGATCTGTGAGGGCCCCGGGCCCGACGCTGAGCGACAAAACGCCTGCTGCGAAACCATTGCCGCGCTCGGATCTCAGGGACGGGCGCACCAGGGCAGCGAAACGTCAGCGTCGAGTCGGGAGATCGGGGCGGATCGAGATCGCCCGCCGTCGCCCGTCATGGCTCCCTGCCGAGGGCGCCCCTGGGGCGCCCGCGGGCCTCGCCCGCGCCCAGCGGCGGCGGACTGGGCGGCACACGCCCGCCGCACGGACTCCAGGTAGGCCACGATGTCCTGGCCCTCCTCGGGCGCGGGGCCGCCGCCGAGGCGCCGCCGAGGCGCCGCCGAGGGGCCGCCGAGGGCCGCCGAAGGAAGGCCGCAGGAAGGCCGCCGAGGGCCGCCGAGGGCCGCCGAAGGAAGGCCGCCGAGGGCCGACGAGGGGGCGACGAGGGGGCGACGAAGGCCGCCGAGGGCCCACGACGGCCCGAAGACCGAGGCCGACCCCAGCGGGGGCCCCGCCGGCCGCGCGCAGCAGCCGCGGGCGGGGGCGAGGAGGGGGCGGGAGTCCCCCCCGCGGGTGGGGGGGCATCAGTGAAGGGGAACTGGAACACACAAATAAATACACACAAATAAAAATATCCCCCATATTTTCCCATATTTTCTGGGTTTTTGTCTTCCCCACCACTTCCCATATTTTTGCATATTTTCCTGGGAGTCGACGATTAATTGTGTCTGTGTGTTTCTTTCCCTCCTGAATCAGGGCCCCCGAGGCGGGGGCACAGCCAGCGCAGCGATCCTACGCGGTGGCTCACGCGGGCCGCCAGCGCGGCGCGTTCCCCTCGAAGAGGAGGCGCCCACGCGCGACCACACGAGGGGAAGCCTGGGGGCGAGTGTGGGCGAAGGCGAACCCACTTCACCAATTTTGGCGTCGCTCTTCCCCCCCGTCTCGTCATGCCCCCGCTTACAGAGACCAGGACCCCCGAAACAGGGGAGTGGCCAAGCGGGAGAATCGGCGCTCCCCGTGCCCTCATTTGCTGCTGTGACAACGCCTCCGGCGCCCTGGAAGGGGGGGCCCTCTTCAAAAAAGGCTGGGCTCCTCGGGCCGTGCACATCGGGGTCAAGGGAAGCACGGCGGGCTCGCGTCAGGACGACCCCCGCGCTGGTTCCTGGCACCGTTGTGTGGCAACTGGTGAGAGCCTCCCGCGTCATCTTGCATGCTCTTGCGAATCGACGCTGACCGACGCTAACCGACGCCAGACCGGCGTCTTCTCGTCGACTACCAGATGCTAGCGCACGCGAGCGCACACTAAGAGCTGAATTTCGAGGACATACGAGGATCCCATGAGCTGTTGCCGAAACACCACGCGAATCGCTCAACCTTGCGTCGGCGGTTTGTCGATCGCCAGATCGTGCCGTATTGGCCGAGTTGGGGCCACCAGCGGCGCTCAACCTGGAATGCCGGCGGCGGGGCCGCTGCTGCGCCGGCACGACACAAAACGATCTTAGCTAGAGTTCTGCAAGAGAGTGGGTAGCGCGTCGAACAGATTTGTTCTCGATGCGCCTAGGGGCGTAATTTTGAAACTGTCGACGCAGGAAGACGCTTTGAGTATCTTCAAATGTGGCCTCTAAAAAACAAACAGCACAAACAAAAACGACAACACGAACATGTGTTCGACGACCGAAGGGTACGCACCAGATCTTCTAATAGAAAAGCCTTTTTGCCCCCTGTGCTGCTTGCCGCAGGATCGACGAGTGCACACAACTCCTCAGCCTAACCACAAGTGCGCACCCGCCGATCCTTGACGCGGGATGGGCGCGCGCGGGGTCGGTGTATTCGTTTGTTTGTTTGGAAGGACATGTGGAGCATGCGAAAGCGACACAAATGGCACACACACACACCAGAACAAAAAAGTAGTTTGTCAATGAACAGTGAGATGACCTCGTCGCCGATGACTCGCTGCCCAGACGAAGCGGCGTGGTGCGTAGGGTGGGTGCCGGGGCCTAATCCACGGCCGCCCCCGCTGCCGAATCGACTAGCATGCGCAACAGGGTTTTTCCCCTGGGTGCGTGGGCACAAGGCCCCATGGGATTTACGGACCACATGGCCCCACCTCTCAACCAAATGCGCAATCCCCGTGCCTGGTCCCAAATCCATGCTACGGGCGCCGCTAACGCCATAAGCAGCAACGCGATAGGCGCCAAACTGCTGGTCCCTGCAATCATCCAAAAGGCTCCTTGACAGTATAATTACCCTGAAGGTGGGAAAAGGCGAAGGATGAGGAGGAGGAGAGATGGAGGAGGATGAGGCGCGACCACACAACTTCAAACGGCTCGGCCTCAACCGCCGTGCGGATCAGAAGATCACGACGCGAACCGAGCTGCGACACGGTCGGCAACTCTTGCCCAGCGTGTCGCGGCGGCGGCCCCGGCGACACGCTGCGGGTCGCGCGTCGCTCCGCTCCGCGCAGCGGGACCTCGGGAAAGGCACTGCTGGTTACCGGGATGGCAACCCGTCATGCGGGCACCTTGCCTGTCCAGCAAACTCACGTCCTGCAAATCTGCGGGCTCGGCGCGCGGGGAGCGCGGGGAGCGCGGATGCTCGTGGACCAAAGCACGCGCGGAGCGCGCGCCGCGCCGCAGCGCGGACACGTCGAGCCAGAGCTCCCGACTGCACCTGGGCGGCTGGCCCCTGCCGTGCCGGCGCGGGCGGTGGCCTCCCGCGCCGATCCCACACCTCCTGCGTCGTGATTCCTTTCAAAACTTCGAGCCCCAAAGGTCTGGACCCCTTCCCTAGAAGCTGTTTTTCATCCTCATTTTTGGTTTGACGGTCCCGAGGCCCAGTAAGGACCCCCAGAGGCCGACAGTGGCGGAAAACCTCCCGTCGTGATGTTTTCAAAACGCGAGGAGGTCTGGGATCGCGGAGCTCTTGGCCCATCGAGCGCGAGCTCCGCCGTGCGACGGCGGAGAGATCCTTCGCGCAGGGCCGGCCTGCCTCGGACCGCAGGCGGCCTCCCCAGCCTTGCGCGCCCGCCCGCGCCAGCACTTCGCCGGCGAGCGCGGAGATCGTTCGCAGGGTCGGGCCTGGTTCGGGCAGCAGGCTCACCAGGGGCGGTCTAAGGGGCAGGAGGGGCAGGAGGGGCAGGAGGAGGAGGAGGAGGAGGACGAAGAGGAAGAGGAGGAGGAGGAGGAGGAGGAGGAGGAGGAGGAGGAGGAGGAGGAGGAGGCCGCATCCATACCCGCGCCCCCGCGGTCGAAACTCCAGGGCGCGATCCCGCAGAGACGCGGTCGCACGGACACGTGCCGCCCGGGGCACCCCGCCGACAAAGCGCAGCCGCGGCCGCGGGGTCGCGGCCCCGGGGCCCCGCAGCCGCGAGGCCGCGGGCGCGGCTGTGTCGTTCGCGCCCACGGCAGGCGGGCCTCGACCTCGAGCAGCCCGTGCCTGGCGTCGCCGCCGCGTGGGCACGGCGCGAGCCCGCCGCGGGGTGGCGTCCACCGACCTCCGCCCGACCCTCTGTGGCGAAGGGCACGGCGACGCCAGTCCCTGACTTTTGGGGGGGGGGGTCGGCAGGACCACGACATCGCGGCCAGGCTCTGAGATATGCAGTGGGAGGCGTCCATCCTCGATAGGGGTGCGGCCGAAGAGCCAGCCCTCTGAAGCTGCGTCTCCGACTGTCCCCCCTTTTCTGAGCGATCTGACTTTTCGTGGGCAGCGCGGGTTCTGGGGGCGAAACGTCGCCTGCCACTCCGGGGACCACCCGAAGATGTCTGGGATGATCAGGAATTGAGCAGGGACCGACCGTCCCAGCACTCCCATAGGCCAAAAATCTTCGAACAAACAAAAACGGCATAGACCCGATGCATCAAAACAAGACATCCTCAGCCAGAAATGATCAAAGATCATGCCGTGCAAGCCACAGAAGCTTCTCAGAACATTCGTTGTGGCGGGCCTATGGGCCAGCCAAGGCTCTTCGCCACTGCCTGAATTTTGGGGACCGCCCGAGGATGGCTGTGATGAGCAGGGAAGCACCGAGCGCCTCCCAGAGACCGCAGGGGCGCGCCCGTGGAAAGCTCTGGGGGCCGCCTCGCCGCCTCTGCACGCCGCCGGTGACAGCCTCCCAGATCGGGGGAGGGGCCGACCCGCCGGGGGGGGGGGGGGGGCGACCTGCCGCCCAGCCTCCCACGATGCCAATGCGGCTGCTCCCTGCCAGGGTGGGCTCTGACGAGGGCTCCGCAGCGAAACCAGCTGCGGCGACAGGGCGCCCCCCAGGCGGCCCCAGAAGAGGAGGACGAGGGACGGCACGAGCACAAGCTGTCGGAGGTCCACCCGCCAGCCTGTGACCCGCGCCGAGCAGCCCACCTCTGGCGCGCGGAGCGCGCCGGGGGCGGCGCCCGAGGTGCTGCCAGGTTGGGGGGGGCCACTCGTGCAAGCATGTATGGACGAGGGACAGAAGCCGTGAGCCTTGCTTGGTGCTGCCCGCCTGAGGTAGACCAGGGAGGGGATCGGTATCGGTGTATCTTTTCCGATGGCCGCCGATCTTTGCAGGGGTTGGTTCTGGCTACGAGTCTGAAGCAAATCTAGCCGTGGCGACATAGCTCCCCCAGACGGCCCAACAAGGGGACGACGAGAAAGGGAATCGATATCCCTGAGATCTGACGTTGCAACAAAAAGCATCGCGGGAAATCTCGACCAGAACCCTAGACCCCGTCTTCCTGCGTCATTTTTCAAGCGAGATCGATATATGTGAGGGTCCTGGGGCACGAAGCCAGGCGAAAACGACCGTTGCAAAAAAATGCAGCGCTCAGATCTGAGGGGTCAGTGTGGGGACGATCCCTGCCCTCCGCGTCCTTGGGCCTCTCCCTGGCCTTCTTGACCGCGGTATTCCCTTCGACGTCCTTGGCGGCCGGATCTACGAGGGCCTGGCGGGGGCGGCGGCCCGGGTCGAGCAGGCGGGGGTCGGGGCACCGTCGGTCCGCGCGCGCGCGCGTTCGGCGGGGCCCTCTCTGCCTCCCCGTCCGCCCCACCTGTCGTTCTTGTGGCTGCTTTCCTCCCTTGCTCAGGTTGCCTTCACAAGTGATACGATACGGGAAGACTGACACTCAACTCCCCCGACTCGCTTCCAACCAAAAAACTCTACGTCATTCGCGTTCCACATGCAACTCTTCGCATGGTTAGTTATTGCAGCTCCTGCGCAGCATTCACACCCACACCTGCAGCAGTGAGCTCCGTCTCGAAAGCGCCGTCGATATGAAAACCCCGACATCCAAGCAACTCGTTGGGGAAACCGAAAGGTACCAATACCGCTACTCCCCGGACCTCTCCTGGGGTGCGTTCCGACCAGGATTTCGAGTCGAATCCCGCGGTGGCGACGAGGGCCTCCCAGGAGGCCCCAAGGGAAGGGTATCGGTATGGGTACCTTTTCCTCCACCGATCGCTCGAGCTTCTCCAATTGTTTGAGGGAAGAAGGGAAATCGGACATCCCAGCATACAGTGGAGGCCAGCCCAGGAAAACACTTCCACAAAAGGCCCGACCCCGAGACCCCAGGACGTCCATGGACTTCTGGCGTGGGAGCGTCTCTTGGCATTGGCCTCCCCTTGAGCAGAGACCGACCGTCCCGGCATTCGTATAGTCCTACCTCGAAGTGTTCTTAGAACCCAAACATGTTCTAAGAACAAAAATACCATGTTCCTAGAACAGAAGCCCGGTGTGTTAAACCAAGACAGACTCCGCCAAAGATGTCCTGAGAACATGTCGCGGAGGAGGGGGAGGAGGAGGAGGAGGAGGAGGAGGAGGAGGAGGAGGAGGAGGAGGAGGAGGAGGAGGGAACAGTGCTTGCTGGGGCTATACGCAAGCCGGGACGCTTCGCCACCGCTCGATCCCCTGCGAGCCACGCTGTGGCCTGGGGCCTCCCGGCCGGCTGGCACCGCTGCCCTCTCGAGGACGGCACGCGGCCGCACGTGCCGGCCGGGCTCTCGCGCGCGCCCGGAGGCGCCCGGGGAGAGGGGGGAGGGAGGGGAGGGGAGGGAGGAAGGGGAGGGGAGGGGAGAGAGGGAGGGAGGGGAGGGGAGGGTGGGAGGGGGCGAGGGGAGGGGAGGGAAAGAGAGAGGAGGGAGGGGAGGGGAGAGAGACAAGCTAGGTGCGCTCGCGTCAACATCTGACATCCTACCCCTCCCTCCCATCCCTTCCCATTGAGCTACTTCATTGTCCTCTCACCGAATCGGGCTTCGCATCTGACCCTGTTACCTAAGAGGGAAAGGAGGAGGACGACGGCGCGATGAAAACGAAGACGACGACGACGAAGACGACGACGACGACGACAACCACGACGACGACGACGACGGCGGCGACGACGACGACGACGACGATGAGGACGACCGGCGACGAAGACGACGACGACGACGACGACGCGACCGCGCCGGAGCGGCACCCGCGCCAGCTGCCCGCTGCCGTTACGCGCGTCCCCCACCCAGATCTCAAATTTCTGCAGGGGTGAAAGGAGAGTAGCATTCATATTGGGTAATGGTAGAGTGGGTCCGATGTCAGAGTTGTGCAAGTGCATTCATATTGAGTAATGGTAGAGGTAGAAATTGCCAATCGCGACAAAGACGCAGACGACGATGCAGGTGCATTCATATTGAGTAATGGTAGAGGTAGAAATTGCCAATCGCGACAAAGGCGCAGACGACGACTGCGGCGGCGGCGAGGGAAGCGGCAGCGGGCGAGGACAGATGTCAGAGAAGAGGATGGAGGGCTGCCAGGCTCGATGGTCTGGCTTCCCTGGGCAGTCGGCTCACACTGGGCCCGTGGACCCCTCACGGGGTCCAGTCGGGTAGGCGGAAGATAGGCCGCAAAGGGGAAAGGCGCTAAGGCGAGAGCACAATTGAAAGCACCAGCGATGGAGCCCAGAGCGTAGCATGCCATAGCACTGCAGAGCGTAGCATGTCATAGCATGGCGCAGAAGAGCAATGCTGAGCGTAGTATGTCATAGCATGGGACGCGGGACGCATGCGCTGCAGCGGCAGCACGATCTGGAACGACCAGAGGCGCAGAAATGGGACCGACGCTGCAGCGGGAGCGACATGTTGAAGAGCCGAAGAGTGCCGTAGTGCCAAGAAAACAATACGGCAGCACGATTTGGAATGAGCAGAGGCGCAGACATGGGACCAACGCTGCAGCGGGAGCACCATTGTTGAAGAGCCGAAGAACGCCACTGGAGCGGAGCATATCATAGCATGGGGCCGGGGACCGTTGCACTGCAGCGGCAGCACGATTTGGAACGACCAGCGGCGCGGAAAATAGGACGAACGCTGCAGCGGGAGCAACATTCTGAAGGACCGGAAAGACTCGGATTTTCAAAAACATAGATGAAAACCAAACTCCCGGGAATCCTGTGCGGAAAAGGACGCCGCCCAAAAGGGGGGGGGCTTTCTGCGGCCCCAAAAATCAACGAATCGACACCGGATGTGTAATCACCTCCAATGTTTTTGCCGGGGATCATTTTCTAGATTTGGGGCTTCTTAAAAAGGATCGAAAACGTCGGCGCTGCAGCGGGAGCACGTTTTGGAACAACGAGAGGCGCAGAAATTGGGCCAGCGCTGCAGCGGGAGCACGATTCGGAACGAGCGGGAGCGCGGAAATGAGGCCAGCGCTGCAGCGGGAACACGATTCGGAAGGAGCGGGAGCCCGAAAATTAGGCCAGCGCCTCAGCGAGAACAGCAGTTTAGAAAAAAACACCCGCGAAAACCCAACTCCGGGGAATCCTGTGTGTAAAAAAACAGTACGCGGGGGGGTGCCGAACATCTTCCGGACGCCATCAGGGGAAGTGGGAGAGTAGTATTCATATGGTGTAATTGTGGAGGGAGGGGAGGGCGAGGAGGGCGAGGAGGAGGAGGAGGAGGAGGAGGAGGAGGAGGAGGAGGAAGGAGAGCGGGTAGCGTGGCTGCTTCTCCAAAACTTACACCCCGACCTGTCTCCTGGAGCTTACCGTGGCCAAGAGTCCGAGGCGAGCCCAGCCGACGACGGCCCATCAGTGTTGAAACGCAGCCCCTGGAGCGCTCGATCCCTTCTTGGCGGCGCGCACACGGGGGTGGAGGGAGGGGTGAGGGCTTCTTAGAAGGAGGCTGCTTCTTAGAAGTCGCCGGCCTGACATCTGTAGGTAAGGCCCGCGCCTTCTAGGGGTGCTTCTAAGAAGCCCTCCCCCCTCCCCCCACCCCCCTCTGCGCGTGCCTGACCTTCCACGAGAATGCCTTACACAGGGCAAGCGTTTGACGTCCCATGGCTTCGAAAACAGCCATCTGAAGCCAAATAATGACAAATGAGAGCGTTGTTTCCGGTCCCTCCTCCTCTGCCTGCTCGGAGGTTTGGGCCCCCCTCTTCCGAGGCAAGTTGCGGGAGGTCATGGTAGGAGCGATCTGTTGAGCCCGATCAAAGGGCCCTCAAGATGCGTTACGTCAAAGCCCAGGCCTGTCCAGGCCAAGGATCTACCAGAGCCGGTATCTTGTTCAACCTTCGCCCCCCCTCCCGGGACACGCTGCCCCCTCCCGGTACTTGCATGGCCGGGCGGACGTCACCGCCTCCAGGCCCCTCCCTCGTTCCGGCTCCCCTTCTCAGGCTCTTGTCAGAATCCCCGCTACGAGGTACTCGAGATCTTTCCAAACCCCCTCGGTTTGAAAAAAAAAAAAAAAAAAAAAAAAAAAACGACGGGAGCCGTGTTTGGTTATTTTCGGCCTCCAGGGGCCCTTCCTGGGCCTCGGGACCGTCGAAAAACGACTCAGGATGAAAAACGTGTCATCAGGAAGGGGTCCGGACCTCTGGGGGGTTACGTTGTGAAAAATCACGACGTCGGCGGTCTGGGGTCGGGACCACCTGCGACGCCACTCCCATGCGCCACCGTAGGCCTCACAGGCGACGGGCTGCAGGTCGCCCACCACTCGGCCGTGCCGCCAACAGGCACGGGAGGGGGCCGAGGACTCCTCTGCGACCACTGGTCCAACGAAGGCGGCCGTAAGGAGGGTCCAAACGCACCTCCGCCGTGTTACAATACTTGCGCCAGGACGCCAGCCCACAAATTTCCCAGATTCCTCCGGTGGAATTGCGACCTGCCTGTCCCAGACCCCCGACGTCATGGTTTGTTGATAACGTCTTCTCCGGGACCTGTATTTCATCCTGAGTCGTTTTTTGGCGGTCCCGGGGCCTGGCGAGGGCCCCCAGAGGCCGAAAATGTGAAACAACTGTTCTTCGCTATTTTCCATGTCTCGAGGGGCGTCTTCCTCCCACCCTCCTGGGTCCCTGGGCCTGGCAGACGAGCCGCTGCACGACCGGCAGGGACGCCTCCCTAGCCGCGTAGAAGAGCGGCGTCTGCTCGTTGATGTCCCTGCGCTGGGGCGGCAAATTCAAGGCCACCTACGGTGGGAACTTTTGCTCAGCGTGTCGCGGCGGTGGCCTCGGCGACGCCTTATGCCATGCGATCGGATAGCGTGTCGCTCTGCTCCGCGGGGCGGGAGGCTCAGAAGAGCTCGGGAAGTTGCCGCTTGAGAATGATTCATGGGGGCGTGAACAGCGTGCCGCGCCAAAGCACCGTTGGCCAGAACCGGAGCGACACGCCACCCAAAAGCTACCGACCGGAAGTGGAGACACCAGTAAACCAAGACATTGGCGTGCAAGAAAGAAACTGCAGTGGGGGGCCGGTACATGCATTCTCCATTCTTTGTTCTCTCCGGGCGGGATTTCCCAAGTCCTGGTTCAAGATATCCTGGCCTTTATTTGGCTCTGAAAAACTCTCGCCTGACCTCCACCGGACTAGACGTGAGGAGGTAGAGGAGGACGACGACGAGAACGAGCACGACGACGAAGGCGAGGCCGCCGAGGCCGAGGACGAGGCCGAGGCCGAGGCCGAGGAGTAGGAGGACGACAACGACGACGGCGACGACGGCGACCTCGACGACGACGACGACGACGACGACGACGACGACGACGACGACGAGGACAACGACGACAACGACGACGATGACGACAACGACGACGATGACGACAACGACGGCGTAACGGAGTCCCTGCGCTGGCCTGTTGAGGCCGATTCCCGGTGCCGCGTTCCCGCAAATCTTAAGAAATATACGCATCCGGGGATGAAGAGAAGGAGTCGAGGGGTGAACGCCTAAGGCTGAACCCAGAACCCAGAAGGGGTCGAGGGACCCGGGTCGAGGGATTCAGACATGAAGAACAAGCTTGTTGCGTTCTCCTCCTCCTCCTCCTCCTCCTCCGCCTCCGCCTCCGCCTCTGCATCCGCCTGCGCCTCTCTCCTCCTCCTCCTCCTCCTCCTCCTCCTCCTCCTCCTCCTCCTCCTCCTCCTCCTCCTCCTCCTCCTCTCCTCCTCCTCTCCTCTGGGCGAGGGGAGGTTGATACTTTTCCTGGGCGGCCTCCTGGGGGGGGGGGGGCTCGCCGCCACAGCGTAGGATCCGCCGCAACATCATGGCCAGAGTGCGGCCCAAGACAAGTACGGGAGTCGATAGGCCGAGGTCAGGCAGGAGGAGGAGGAGGAGGAGGAGGAGAAGAGGAGGAGGAGGAGGAGGAGAGAAAGAGGAGGAGGAGGAGGAGGAGGAGGAGGAGGAGATGACGACAAGGGAAGAGGGAGGGGAGGACGGGCGAGGGACGAGGGAAGAGGCAGGAGGGAGGGGAGAAGCAGCGAGGAGGGAAGCAGGGAGGAAACGAGCGCGCTGTAGTAGTAGCGGGATGGGCGCAAGAACACAATGCACAGAGGTGCCAGCCAGTCCACCGCTAGAGCTCTGATCTGAGGAAGGGTCACCGCGATGCCCTCCCCCCTCCTCCTCCCTCCGTCTCCTCCTCCTTCTCCTCAACCTCCTCCTCCTCCTCCGGGTCCTGATCCTCTTCCTCCTCCTCCTGCTCCTCCTCCTCCTACTCCCCGTCCTCCGTCTCCTCCTCTTCCTCCTCCTCCTCCTCCTCATCCCCCTCCCCCGCCTCATCTTCTTCCTCCTCCTCCTCCTCCTCCTCCTCCTCCTCCTCCTCCTCCTCCTCCTCCTCCTCCTCTGTTTGTTCTTCTTATGATGGTTCGTCTCTTATTATTTTAAGCATTCGTGAAATCATTAGCTTTGTGTTATACTTGTTCCCTGTTCTTAGTATTTGTCGTGGTCCCATTCGTCGGCATAGTATTACTATTCCTCTTCTTACGATTACGATGGTTAGTAGTGATGTTACGGGTATTACTGTTATTGGTATCATCATTCGTATGTTATGGTTAGCCTCAGCATTATCGCCGCTACTAGCTGTAATAGTATCATTATCACCATTCGCAATAGTCGAACTAATACTATTAGTACGCATAGAAGTATTACTATTATGTGCATGCTACTTGTTTTATGATGGTTACTTCCTTATGGTGATTACTATTCTTCCTCCGCCTCCTCCTTTTCCTCCTCATCCTCCTCCCGCCCCCCCTCTTCTTCCTCCTCCTCCTCCTCCTCCTCCTCCTCCTCCTCCTCCTCCTCCTCCTCCTCCTCTTCCTCCTCCCCCCCCGTCCTCCTCCTCCTCCTCCCCCTCCTCGTCCTCTTCCCCCTCATTGTTTGCCTTACTAGTACTAGCATCACGTGTTTTATTATTATTTGGTTTCGTAGTGTTCTTCTTAGTCTTCGTATTCGAAATATTGTTATCACCTTACTAATATTAGTATCATGTGTATATGTATGCGATGCATTCCTATTATTACCCAAATTCATAGCATTAGTTCTGGTACTAATATTTGTACAATTGCTAAACTTACTACTACTGTGTCTAATTCTTGTTCACCCTCCTCCTCTTCCTCCTCCTCCTCCTCCTCCTCCTGCTCCTCCTCCTCGAATTATCCTATCCTTCCTCCTCCTCCTCCTCCTCCTCCCCCTCCTTCTCCTCCCTCTCCTCCTCCTCCTCCTCCTACTCCTCCTCCCCTCCTCCTCCTCCTCCTCCTCCTCCTCCTCCTCCTCCCCCCGGAGGGGAACTAGTGGGCCTTTCTTCGGGGCGCACGCCCTCAGGATGTGCCCAACGCCGCCCTCGGACCCTTCTCGAAATACCCCTGGCGAAAGCTCTTCAAAGAAAAACCCAACATGTGGGCGAAATGTGCATAAAACGCAGTTGGCCCCTTAAGGGGTTGTAGTGCCCACTCGATGAAGCAAGGCCCAGACGCAATCACTCCTACCCCGAACCCGACTCCTCCTCAGAGGCCCACGCGCGGCCTCCAGGGTCCCCCAGGCCCCGAAACGTCCGCCAGCACCATAGAAGCCGCCGAAAGCCGTGCCAATCGATTCTAGACGGGCAGCACGGGTGGCCGCCTCGAGCAAAACGTATCGCACGAAACCACAGCTGGACAGGCACGACTGACCAGCAGGGACGACGACCCGCAGTTGCTAGAGGCCTCCTAGACGGGTCCGAATAGGTGGGGTCGGAGGATCGCGCCGCATCGCTGGTGCATCGCCGACGCCGTCGGGGCGGAGAAAATCGAATTCCACCTCAAACCGCATCAGCGATACATCGGCGATGCGGCGCGATCCTCCGACACCGTCTGCTCCAACCCCATTCAGGAGGCCTGGAGGCACCCGCGCCCCTCTCCACCCGCGAGAAGGCTGACCGCCTGATGGCCCCGCTCGCGCCCGCCGTCGACAGCGCGTGCACCATCGCCGCGTCGTCGCGAACGGCCGCGAAGAACAGCGCGGTCTGTTTAATCTTGTCGAGGTGGTCCACGGGCGCGGAGGCCCCGAGGAGCAGCCGGGGAACCTCGGAGCCCCGCGCCCAGTGCAGGGCCGTCCTTGGGCGACGCGCAGGAAGCAAGGTGGGCGGGCGCGAAATCCAGTCTCCGGGGGGAGGCAGGCGACTTGTAGGAGGGCGTATCGGAAGGCAGAAGAAAAAAGCCCCATGCCTTGAGTAGAAGAAGAATAATAAAAACACGAAGACGATGCAGAAGCAGAAAAATAATAACACATTAAGAGAAACAAGCATATAAGCAACAACAACAAAAACAAAGCAAAGGCGGCCAGCGCCGACCCGTCGGGACCCCCCCCCGGCAACAACCACAACAACGACCCCCCCCCCGCACACAACACCACAACAACGCCGTTTGAATTCGATTTCTGTGAACATCTGCGGACCTCCTCTCTGGCACCAACGAACTCCTGCCAGCAAAAAGCATGTGTGCACCGGCGAAGCGAGGAATTCCTAGGAATCCTTAGGAATTCCCAGGAATCCTTAGGAATTCCTACGAATCCTTCGGAAGTCTTAGGAATCCTTCGAATTCCTAGGAATCCTTAGGAATTCCTAGGAATCATTCGAATTCCTACGGATCCTTCGGAATTCTTAGGAATCCTTCGAATTCCTAGGAATCCTTTCGAATTCCTAGGAATCCTTAGGCATTCCTAGGAATCCTTACGAATTCCTGGGAATGCTTAGGAATTCCTAGGAATCCTCAGGAATTCCTAGGGAACCCTTTCGAATTCCTAGGAATCCTTACGAATTCGTAGGAATCCTTAGGCATTCCTACCTCACGAATTCCTAGGAATCATTAGGCATTCCTAGGAATCCTTACGAATCCCTAGGAATCTCCACGAACTCCTAAGGATCCTTCTTGGAATTCCTAGGAATCCTTACGAATTCATCGGAATCCTTGGGAATTCACAGGAGTCCTTAGGAATTCCTGGGAATCCTTAGGAATTCCTAGGGATCCTTAGGAAGCCCTTGGAATCCTTCGGAATTCCTAGGAATGCTTCGGAATTCCTAAGAATCCTTGGCAATTCCTAGAAATCCTTACGAATTCCTAGGAATTCCTAGGAATTCCTAGGAATCCTAGAATTCCTGAAAAACCATCCGGAAGTCTTAGGAATCCTTAGGAATTCCGAGGCGTCCTCAGGAATTCTTAGGAATCCTTAAAAAATAATAGGAATCCTCTGGAATCCTTACGAATCCCTAGAAATTCCTAAGAATCCTTAGGAATTCTCAGGAATGCTTAGGAATTCCTAATCGGAATCCTCAGGTATTCCTACGAATCCTTAGGAAATCCTAGGAATCCTTCGGAATTTATAAGAATCCTTCGGAATTCCTAGGGATCCTTAGGAATTCCTAGGAATCCTTCCGAATTTCCTAGGAACCCTCTGGAATTTAAAAACCTTAGGAATTCCTAGGAATCCTTCGGAATTCCTGGAAATCTTCCTGAAGTCTTAGGAATCCTTAGGAATTCCGAGGCGTCCTTAGGAATTCCTAGGAATCCTGAAGAATTCCTAGGAATCCTTTCTGGAATTCCCTGGAATCCTTTTCGAATTCCTAGGAATGCCTAGGAATCCTTAGGAATCCGGAGAAATTCATGAGAATCCTTCGGAATTCTCAGGAGTCCTTAGGCATTCCTAGGAATCCTTAGGAATTCCTACGGGTCCTTGGGAATTCCTAGGAATCCTTAGAAAATTATGCGAATCCTTAGGAATTCCGAGGAATTCTTAGGAATTCCTAGGAATACTTGGAATTCCTAGGGATCCTTTGGAATTCCTAGGAATCCTTAGGAATTCCTGGGAATCTTCGGAATATTAAGAATCCTTTGGAATTCCTAAGAATCCTTTGGAATTCCTATGAATCCTCAGGAACTCGAAGGAATCATTAGAAATTCCTGGGAATGCTTAGGAACTCCTAAGAATCCGTAGGAATTCCTAGGAATGCTGTGGAATTGTTGAAAATCCTTTCGAATCCCTAGGAATCGTTAGGAATTCCTAAGAATCCTTTGGAATTCCTAAGAACCATTGGAATCCTTAGGAATCCTTAGGGATTCCTAGGAATCCTTCGGAATTCCTAAGGATCCTCAGGAATTCCTAGGAATCCTTAGGAATTCCTAAGAATTCCTAAGAGTTCCTGGGAATCCGGAGGAATTCCTAGGAATCCTTAGGAATTCCTTTGGGATTCCTCGGAATCCTTAGGAATTCTTAGGAATCCTTTGGAATTTCTAGAAATCCTCTGGAATTCCTAGGAATCCTTAGGAATTCCTAGGAATCCTTAGGAATTCCGGTTGTTGTGAGTGTTGTGTGTGGGGGGGGGGGGGGGGGCCCGGGTCGGGGCGCCCCGCACTTACTAACAACCACAACAACAACAACAACAACAACAACAACAACAACAACAACAACAACAACAACAACAACAACAACAACAACAACAACAACAACAACAATTACTAGCACGTGGGGACACTCCGTTCTCACCAGTGCCAGGGTTTTCATAGGAGGCGGGCAATACCCCCACTTTGTGGGGGGGCCGGTTCAAGCTCTACCAAATTTCCAAACGACTCTTCGCCACCACCCACACCCAGCTTCCCGCCCTATGACGTTCGGACACTTCACTTCGTGGCATGCGGACGACCGTGGCTACTATTCAGGGCCCCGCGGCCGACGACGACGGCGTGCGCGCGCGAAGAAAAAACGAATGTGTCCCGCATGGTATTATTTGACAGGGATGATGGCCCTGGCAGGTGCGCAACCGTTGTTGCAGAAGTTCGAAAAAGTTGCTCGCAAAAGCCCGTTTGACAGAAATGTTTAAAAAGTGTTGGGTTTCCTACGAATCCGCAAGAGCGCGCGGGATGAAATGTTGACAAGTTTTTTTTTTTAACCATTGGTTTTTTATGTTTTTATGTTAAAATCGCTACGAAAACTAAGGTTTTGGAAGGATTTCGCCTTGCGCGCGCGAATGTCCACTTTACCTTATTTTTTGCAAGGGATTCTTGAAGTTTGGTTATGTTAGAACAAGAAATGTCCACTTTAGCTTATTTTTTGCAAGGGAAAACGGGCCGTAACAAAACAACCGGATCCGGACCAACCCGTTTTGCCTGAGACTTCCTCACGAAAATGATGAAAATGTGGCTGCGGCCTAAGCGCGGCGGGGGGGCCATGCACCAGGGGTCCCAACAATAATTATTCTTTAGAAGTAATAATGTTCAACAACAACAACAACAGTAATAATAATAATAATGATAACTTTCAGACTGCTCGCCCTTACATGCTCGAGTGTCCAATAACGCGTATTTCCCAGACCCTCGATACCCGCCCTCTTCGTCTTCGATCGAACCCCTTTTGGGGGTATACCTTTCTTCCCTGCAGGCCGGGCCCCGGCAAGCGGCGGGGCGGCCGCGGACCGTCGGCCTGGCCAGCGGCAGCGCTGATCGGCGGGGCGGCCGCGGACCGTCGACCCGACCCCAAGAGGGACGGACAGGGACCGACCGACGACGACGACGACGACGACGACGACGACGTCGAAGACGACGGCGACGACGACGACGACGACGGCGACGACGAGCGAAAGCGAGAGCGAGAGAGAACGACAGCAGGGCCACGAAGGGCACGAAGTAGGCCACGAAGGGCGACAGCGGGGATACGAAGGGAATGCGTATGGGGCCACGAAGAGCGCGAACGAGCGGGGGCCACGAAGTGCAGATAATGCGGGGCCACAGAAGGCAACTATGGGGCCACTGAGGGTAGCAACTGGGCCACGTAGGCCAGTGAGGGGGACACAAATGGCGACAGCGGGGCCACGAAGGGCATGCACATGGGGCCACAACGGGCGCGACTCCTGGGTGCCTGGGTGTCGGGAGCGCGGCGCCTGGGCAAATTGCAAAAAAAATCCAACGCAAGGCCATTCTTCACTAAGTTGCAAGCAAATCTCCAGCGAGAGCGCGACTCCAGGCGATTCCTGAATAAATTGTAAGGAAATCCCAAGCGAGAGCGCGATTCCTGAATAAAATGCGAGGAAGTCTCGGGCGGGAGCGGGGGTCCTGGCTAAATTGCAAGGAAGTCTCAAGCGGGAGCCGTTGTTGTTGCAACCCGGGGGCCAGGGGCCCAGTTTGAGCAGGAAGACTTTCCTTGTAAAAAAACGGGTGCGAGCGTCGAGGGGCACACTTTGATTGAGAAAAAACAGTATGCACCGATGGGGGGGATCAACAATAATTATTCTTCAGAAATGAGAATTCAACAACAACAACAACAACAACAACAACAACAACAACAACAACAACAACAACAACAACAACAACAACAACCACCGCGCCAGGGGCGGCGCCGCAAGCGCCGCCAGGGGGGGCCGGAACGCCGATCAAATATATCCGCATGAAACCTCGAAAGTTTACGGTTAGGCCGTTTTCCCGAAGGCAGGAGGGGTCCCGGGATCTCCCCCCCTGCCTTCCCAGAAGACCGCCTCCCCTCACATCCGACGTCTTGCTTTTTGTTCGGTTGGGGGCCCCCGGAGCTCGGGATCCACTCACTGGGGACCCGTCTTTCGCCCAGGACTGCTCGGCTACGCGCAAGAGTGACCCTAGGCAAGAGTGGCCAGTGGCGCGCGGACGAAGAGGGCGCAAGGTGGCCAAATCCAGGCGCGCAATCGGCCGCTAACGCATCGCGCTCGGCGATCGGGGGGACCCCGATGAGCCCGCCCCACAGGTCACTCAGGCGAAGGGTCGCTCTTAGGGGGTCGTCGAAGGTAGGTCTTTTGACGGTCCCAGGGCACGGCGAGGGCGCCCCCATGATGGGCCTGTCTTCCACCACCACCACCATCAGTTGGAGGAGGAGGTGGTGGAGGAAAAGAAGGAGGAGGACGAGGAGGAGGAGGACGAGGAGGAGGAAGAGGAGGAGGAAGAGGAGGACCCTCTCTCCCTCCCACTTCTGGTGGTGGTGGTGGTGGAAACCAGGCCCATCAGCGAGGGCCCCCCCCCCCCCAAGACGCCGGACACGACGAGGAGGTCACGTCTCGAGCTGTGCCGCACGCTGGAGGAGTGCGGGCCCCCCTCGCCCCCCCCCCCCTGCGAGGAGCGGCGCCCAGGCACCGCGCCGTGTCTGGGCTCCCTCCCGGGCGCCGCTCCAGCGCGGTGCGGTGCGCAGCGTGTGTGCCCAGATGGGTCAAGGAACGACACGTCGGTCGAAAGAAGCAGGTCACAACATGAAGCAGGAAGGCGGACAGAATCAGATTGGGCCCAGGCCCTCCCAAAGAACGATGCAACACGGCAGGAGCAGATCGAGCATTGCAGTAGGAAGGCGCCTGAAGTAGACTGGGATCTGGGGATCCAGAAAATACCTACTTTCAACAACCGACGAGGGCCGAGGGCCGCAACGCTGTGTTCCGTACCATTCCTGTGTCGAGAGTCGACGACGCCTCTGGAGACGCCAACGCAGCGCGGTGCACAAAAGTCTTCGGCGGCAACTCGTGGAGGCCTGCCTCCAGTGCCATCTTGCTGGCTCTTCCGAATCGACGATTACCGACGCTTGCCGACGCTAATGGACGCTAGCCGACGCTAAATCGACGCCAGTCGACGCTAAATCGGCGCTTGCTCATGGCCAGACGCTAGCCGCTAGCGCTAGCGCGCGCGAATGCACTCCAAAGGTGGAATTTCCAGGACATACAAGGCTCCCATGATTTGCTACCGAGCATGTCGTCCGCGGAGCTCCCCCTCGCACGCGCTGCAGGGTCCTCCCATCGGCGTCCACAGCCGCCGCCGAAGCACTGCAGTCCAGCAGCGCCCGGACCACGCCCGCGCGGTCGCACTCGGCCGCGTGGAACAGCGCGGTCTTCCCGGCATGGTCGGCGGCGTCCAGTCTCAGGCCGCGCTCGACCAGCACGCGCGCACACTCGGCATCCTCGGGGGCCCTGAGATCCTGGAGCAGCATCTTTGCACAGCGGGCGATTTTTTGCATTATTGCAGATTCTCGGGCCCTCACGCATCGATGCAGCTCGAATGATGCAGCAGCAAGGTGGAATCCAGGGCTCTGGTCGAGTTGTTGTCCAAAGATGTTACACTTGTTCGTCGTGGCGTAGGATCTCAGCGGTTAAGATCTATCTCCTGGGCGGTCTTCGTCAAAACGGTTCAGGGCTATCAAGCCCGATCACTACGGCGGATGAGACCGGCTTGAGCCCCAGATTAATCAGGAGGAGAATAATTACACGGACACAATTAGATCCCCAGGAAAATATGGGAACCCTGGGATTTGTCTATTTATCTGTGTGTCCCTGGGCCCCTTTCAATTAAACCGGATTTGACGCGATTCCGCCGCATGGACAGGCATCTAGCCGGACTTCACGGACTTGCGCCAGATGGGGCAAGCCTCAAACCAGGGATATACCAACTGCGAATTAAACCCCCCAGGGGGTGCATCCTTTGGCGGCGCGCACAAGGGAGTGGGGGGAGGGGGGAGGGCTTCTTAGAAGCGGGCTGCTTCTTAGAAGGCGCCGGCCTTACATCTATAGATAAGGCCCGCGCCTTCTAAGAAGCAGGGGTGCTCCTAAGAAGTCCTCCCCCCTCTGCGCGTGGCTGAATCCTCGCGGGGGGGTACCGGGGGGGAACAAGCAGGTGTCGAGGCCGCCGCCCCGGGGGAGCCTCTCTGAGGGCGCGCTCTGGCCAGGGATTCGGGGCGGGTCTGAGCGTGGCGACGCAGCCACCCCTCTCGAGGAGGCCCGAAACAGAGACAGCGGGGAAATCCTTCTCCTCCTCCTCCTCCTCCTCCTCCTCCTCCTCCTCCTCCTCCTCCTCCTCCTCCTCCTCCTCCTCCTCCTCCTCCTCCTCCCTCCTCCGCCGCCCCTTTTCCTTATAACTCCTCACTGTCGCACCCCGGTGCCGGTCGGAAGGGCGGGCCGGGCGTGTCGCCTGAGACTTCCATGCGGTATAACCCTGAAGCTTCAAAATCGGCAGCAGTTTCACAAATGGGAGGGCGAGTGGCTTCCAACATGTGGCTCTCCCCTTAACCCCGCGCGCACTCGTTTCAAAATGTGTAAGAAGTGTTACGGATTGCAAGCAAGTCGTTTTCAACATGTGGCTATCGCCTTAGCGCCGCGCATTATTGTCTTTAACATGTGCAACAGCGTCACTGGTTCTCATGGTGAACGTACCAGAAATTGTGAGTTGGAGCGATTCAGCATTGTCAGGGCGCAACGGTTACGTTGATTCGCGGAGATGAAGTCTCAGGACTGCTGTTCTGGCACGATCCAGGATTGCCGCGAAATAACAGCACGGTTGATTCGTAGCGTTGAAGTCGCAAGAATGGTGCTCTGGCACGGTTCCAAACGGTTGTTTCCCAACGGGGCACTTCCCCCAGTGGAACTGCAGCCTCTAAAGGCCAGCGAAGCGGGAGCTTGGAGGGAGGGTTTATTGCAACATCGTTAATGGATTTTGGGTTTACACTTGTCTTCCTCGTCCTCCTCCTCCTCCTACTTCTCCTCCTCCTCCTCCTACTCCTCCCCCCCAGCCCCCCGACGTCATGATTTGCTTATGGCGTGGACCCCCGGAGGTCTCGACCCGTTTCCCAGGGCCGGCTTCTCATCCCGAGTCGTTCTCTGACGGCCCCGAGGCCCAGCGAGGGCCGCCAGAGGCAGACCACGGCGCCAAAGACCCTGCGTCGGGATTTCGTCGGCGAAGGCCCCCCTCGCTGACGATGCCCAGAAAAGAGAAAGCGTGGCAGGGGGCCGGGGTGGGGCAGCGGGGAGGGGGAGCAGCGGTGTCTGGGGCGCCTCTTCGCACCTCCCCTGAAATCCGACGTCGCCACACGACCGACCCAGGGGCCCCAGACCCAACTTTTTCTGCAGCATGTCGCAAGCTGGGTCCATCCGTGAGGACCCCGGGGTCCGAAAGAAGGCAGGATCGCCTGCTGCGGACAATGACCATGCCAGGATCTCAAGGGAGCATGTCCAGGATCCCCCCTTTCCCTAAAAAGGCACAGGTCGACCCCTGTCCCAGGCTCCGTGGGGTTTTCGAACGGACCAGGGATTTGGGGCCAAACCCTAGGATGTACGATGGGGGGGCCTCCATCCTCGATAGGGATGCGTCCGAATAGCCCCCTGGGGGTGTATCCCAAGGTTCGCCCTCTTTTTTCAGCGGGCGACAGCAGAAAACAGGCCTTACGCGAGATGACGTGGCGACCTAACGCGGCGACTTACGCGGGCCGCCAGCGCGGCACGCTGCACTGGAGACGAGGGCGCCTACGCGCGACCTCACGCGGGCAGCTTCCGTGTCAACGTCGGCGAAGACGACCCCTCTTTTTTGCGTCGCTCAAGCGGTGCGTGCACTAGCCTTGATCAGATTTGACTCCACACCGCCGTCATCTGTTTCGTCGGCGGCGAGGCAGAGGCAGCCCGCTCCAGCGCGTGGCCAATCGGGGCAGCCGGCATACGAATTGTCCGGCGTGCACGAGGAAGGAGAAAGACGAGGGCGGCCGCGCGGGGGGTGGGGGGAGGGGGGATTGCTCACCAAGTTTGTCTATGAAGGGGCCCCGGGACACACAAATAAATACACGCAAATAAACATATTCCCCATGTTTTCCTATATTTTCTAGGTTTTTGTCTTCCCTCCACTTCCCATCTTTTCCCATAGATTCTGGGGAATCGACGATTAATTGTGTCTGTGTGTTTTTTGTCCCTCCTGAGAATTGTCCGGCTTGCACGAGGGAGGGAAAAGACGAGGGCGGCCGCGCGGGGGGTGGGGGGGGGGGGATTCCTCACCAGTTTTGCCTAGCTGTAACCAGCCTCGAACTTATCCCTATCCCTAAGATTGACACGCCAAAAGGCGATGACAATCTGAGGGATGCGCCCTGAAAAAGTAAGGAAATCCCTAAGATTGGCATCGTGATGAGGAGATGCCCAGCATAGGGATAGGGACATGTTCCAGGCTGGTAATAGCTGGGCAGGCGCGCGAGCACGCGTGCGAGCAGTGTTGCATCTGAACCTGCCTGGTGGGCAGGAGCCGTGGCCGGGCTCGGGCCCAGCGGTGCTCAAGGTCCGATTCCGGCAGGGCCGCACGTCGACAGGTCTGGCCCGACTCCGGAAGAGGGGCGTCCTTCGATCATCGCTGGTCTTACCGAAAGGAGGGGCAGCGCCAAGACGTGGGACAGTAGATGGACAATATATTCGAACCTTCGCACATTCGAGGGAGATTCTAGATCACCCCCGCGCCCCCGACGTCAATGTTGATCTCACTCAAGGCGGTGCTTTGGGGTTCGAATATTTCTGTCCACTCACGCCCCCCCCGTCGCCACGCCATCAATATCAATTTCGGGGGGTCGGGGGGGCATCTTGGGCCACAGGGTTCGAATGTAATGTCCATGTACGGGAGAGTTCCGCGTAGGGCAAGCAAAAGCGGCCAGCCAAGGCAGCACACCGCCGCCACATGCAGGCGGCACTCTCGAAGCCCTGGGCGGCGGCACGGCCGTGACCGACCGCCGCTCTGGAGGGACTGCGGCGCCCCCGCGGGAGAAGCCCCTGGATGGAGGGGCGCTCTAAACGAGGGGTATGGCGACGGCGACGGCGACGACGACGACGATGACAAGGCCGACGCCGACGACGACGCCGACGAGGCCGAAGCCGAGGAGGCCGCCGACGACTACGACGCGGACGTCGACGACAGCGCAGACGACAACGGCGCCAACGCCGGCTGCAACGGGACCCAGAAAGACTGGCCCCAAACTTTGGGGGTGCATACGACGGGGGGGCATCGATCCTCGACGGGGGTGCGTCCGAGCAGCTCCTTTGGAGGTATGCCCCCGACGTGCCCCGCTTTTCTGAGCGGCCCATTTTCGGGGGTAACTCGGGCATCGGGAGCGAACAATCGCCTGAGAATTCTGCCTTCCCCCCCCCCCTGTGACTCATGCCCTCCCCCCCGAGGAGCGAAAAACTGCACGTATATGACGTCTCGGAGGTCTGCGCGGATTTTTGGGATCTGCGCTGAGCCCCCTTCCCTGGCGCGCGGAGCGCGCCAAAGGGCGGCGCAGGAGGCGCCGCCAGCGGGGCCCAGCGCCAATCCAAGAAATCCGCGCGGAGCCCCGAGAGGTACTGGTTATGCAGTTTGTTTTCTCTTTCGATCTTCTTCCTCCTCCTCCTCCTCCTCCTCCTCCTCCTCCTCCTCCTCCTCCTCCTCCTCCTCCTCCTCCTCCTCCCTCCTCCTCCTCCTCCTCCTCCTCCTCCTCCTCTTCGTCCTCCTCGTCCTTCTCCTCCTCCTCCTCCTCCTCCTCCTCCTCCTCCTCCTCAAACTCCCTCCTCCCTCCTCTCCCTACGCTCTGCCTCCTCTTGCCCCCCCCGAGGCCTCGACCGTGAACAGCGGCGTGCACCCCTGCGAGTCCACCGCGTCGCAAGCGCCCGCCTCCTCGAGCAGCCGCCGCAACGCCCCCGCGCAGCCTGGCCCGCCCGCATGAAACGCGGCCGTCCTGAGGGGCAGCGTGACGGTGAAGGCACTGGATGAGAAACCCCTGGATGAGGAATCCAGGCTCTGGAAGCCCGTGGAACTCCAATCGTGGATCTCGCATTGGATATCACCACCGCCCTCGTCGGATCAGGAACCCCCAGCGTCTGAAGCCTCCTGGGCGCACTCCTGAAGTACTCACCGCCCCCACCGTAGGCGGTAAGGGGGGGGGGACTGGCTCGAAGTTTCGAGGCTGGAGGTCTCCG